TTTTAGAAAAATCAACATAAATTTATGAAGTTAGCTTATGTGATGTTCTCTCAAATATTTCAGTTGTATTGAAAATTCAACATTCAAGATGACTTTGGGAAACGAGTGAATGCAACTAGTGAAAGATAACTACAGACATGGAGGAAATGGGTGAAAAGTCTATTAAGACTTTTTCTTTTCTTCTTCTTCTGTTGTTATGTTGCACATTAGCAACATATTAGTGCATATTTAATTAGTTATCCAATGACATTAATAAACCAGCAGTAGCAGTCAGTAGTAGCACAACAAAAAGAGCAAATAAAATGGTTATTGTTACAATTAATGAAAATAAATGCAATTGAATTGTTACCATTGTTGTGATTCACGTGCTGAATGTTTAAGTCTGTGTGTGACTTTAGCATATTACCACACACTATTTAAGAATTATATAAACCCAATTAAATGTATTCCAAGGTATTTATGAAAAACGAAATTTGAAAAGTTCATTAATAAACGCACACAAAAAAATACACCAATGCTTTAATTAGAAGATAGGTCACCTTCTAAAAGCAACCTATTTATTACTTTTCTTCCTTTGAAATCAAATAACTCTGACTTCATGATGCATTGCTGCATTAACAGGAAGCAAATTATAGTAACATAAACGAAGTTACGGAACGCTAATCACTATAATGGTGAGTTAAAAAAAAACACATTTTAGAAATCAACATCAATTTATGAAGTTAGCTTATGTGATGTTCTCTCAAATATTTCAGTTGTATTGAAAATTCAACATTCAAGATGACTTTGGGAAACGAGTGAATGCAACTAGTGAAAGATAACTACAGACATGGAGGAAATGGGTGAAAAGTCTATTAAGACTTTTTCTTTTCTTCTTCTTCTGTTGTTATGTTGCACATTAGCAACATATTAATGCACTGCTGCCTCTCACTGGTTTATTAATGTCATTGGTTCCTTTGTGGCTACTTGAATATTTTAAGTAAGTGTCACTCAAAACAGTAAGTAAATTGTTTTATTTGCCTTGAAAGTAGCTGTAACTTAATTAAACCTAGTAAGTATAACAACTAAGTAAAGATAACTAATTAAATCTAAGTAAGGTCAAATTGGATTTTACAGTGATCTATTTATTGTTTTGTGATTTTAAACATTTCTCTGATGAAACTATAACTAATACAGGCTCGTTTTAATTGATGCCAGTGAATGTTTTGTTCTATCAGAAATTATGAGCACATTGATATTTTTGAGTTTTGAGATGAAATGCTGTTTTGGTTAAAGTATTGGATAGCTTATGTCCATGATTACTACTTTAATCACTTTTTAACTTTTATTAATTCATTTTTATACAAACCTTTCTAATCCAGAGGAAATCTGTGTGGGATATAACCATGAAATATAAATAATTCATGCTAATTTGGTGTTTTGTTTACTTAAGAATGTTAGTATGAAACAATAAATATGTTTTTGATTACATAAGGATGAATCACAATGGACCTTGACCATTCAGTCTCCCAATAACTACTGCAACGAAACATTTCTCTCATCTTGCAGTAGTCTATTGCTATCTATTGATACAGATTTCAATTAACTGAAAAATTCATTTCAACAATACAGTTTTTGAATTTGTCCGCACACTGAAAACATTTTTCAATCAGACCAAAAAAGGTCTCTCAAAAATGTAGTTTTTATTATCCAAAGTGTATTAAAAACAGACCAAAGAGCAGACGATTCAGCCCATGCTTTCTTCAGTGCTCATGAGTCTGATTGGAAAAATTTTTCAGTGTGCGGAAAAATTCAGCGACTTGTTGGACTAAAACTTTCTCCCTTTTGCTCTACGCACCTGAGAACTCATTGTTCTTTTTGAGCGCACACAATTCCTGTTTGAACAATACAGTTTTTGTCATGCTCATATTCTATAACAATTCACACTTTGTTATGAAAAATGAAGAAATTGCATGTGATTTGAAAGCTTTGCTGAGTAGTACATTCAGCTGAACATCTTATCCTGCTGTTCACACACAAACACAATGTGTGCATTTATGTGAAAAGACCTAGTTATCAGAAAGTGAAAGCACAAAAGGCCACTGTAGTTTTGTAACACAGTATGCATTTTTAGACTTGGGGAAAAAAAGCAGTTGAAACCGAACCGATGGCATTTGTTTATATCAGATGTTACCTCCAACCTAATCAGGTTGCAAAGGTAGTCAAGCTCCTCCAGGATGGCATATACGTGCCATCCATATGTGAGGGGGGGGGGCTTCCAGAGGTGGACGAGGAACCAGAGATGGACCAGAAACTGGAGGAGAAGGCAGAGGGTATAACATCATGGCGGAAATGACAGGTTCATTAAAGTCCCCTTCACAGTAGCCTACTGCAACAACACCTAGTCCACACAATCACAAAAATACCATTGAGGACCATCACTAGATAGCTTAGCAGAGGCAGTTATCCAGGGAGATTGTTTGGTCAACACGTTCTCACTCCCAACTCGTCACATTAGCCTATCACTTTTTTCGACGTACAGGCAGGGGCGGATCTAGAAAATAATTTTTAGGGTGGCAAAGGGGGGGCATGGGGTCTATGAGGGGTGGCAACACCAAAGCAAGCCCCCATGCATAGTTTTTGTGGATTTATGGTCTGACATACACAATTGTGTTCACAAATATTGTATTACCATTAAGTAATCATACTTAAATCATACTGTTTAAAATGAAAAATAAATAACAACATTTTAATATCCATCATGGCACCAAGTCAATGCACAATATAAAAAACTTCAACAGGTTATAAATGTTTCTGAGCTTGTATCACTAAAGAAGACATGCGGTTCTATTAAAATTGCATAGGCTACTTAGATGGTATAATCACGTTTAGTGCAAGTTTAAGAGCAACAAAAACTTTTGAATTTCCTAACATTAGAAAGAAATACAATAATATCAAAGCACTGAAACTGGATCAGTTTTGAAAACAATGTTTGATTTTCTGTTATTAACAGAGGTGGGAATGTCTGTAATCACCCAGAACAAACTCTATCAACCATATACTCTAGCAACACCCCAGCAACTGCATAGCAAGAGCCTAGCAACCACCCAGAATATCCTAGCAACCAACAAGCAACACTTTAGCAAACATCTAGAACAGTGATCCTCAAATCTGGCTCGCGTGATCCACTTTCCTGCAGAGTTTAGCTCCAACCCTATTCA